TGCCAAGTATCACTGCTTGTAAACGCTTTTTGTAGCCAGCCAAGAGTCTTTCAATTCTTGGTTGAGGTATCTTTGCCCATTCTTCCTTACAAAAGTCTTCCAGTTCTTTGAGATTTCTGGGCTGTCTGTCACGCACTGCTCTTTTAAGGTCTATCCATAGATTTTCAATTATGTTGAGGTCAGGAGATTGTGAAAACCTTCAGTTTACGCCTCTTGATGTAATCCCCCGTGGATTTCGAGGTGTGTTTAGGATCATTATCCATTTGTAGAAGCCATCCTCTCTTTAACTTCAGCTTTTTCACAGATGGCATCAAGTTACCATCCAAAATTTGCTGAAATTTTATTGAATCCATTTTTCCTTCTACTTGTGAGATCTTCCCTGTGCCACTGGCTGCAACACAACCCCAAAGCATGATTGATCCAACCCCATGCTTAACAGTTGGACAGAGGTTCTTTTCATTCAATTCTGTGCCCCTTCTTCTCCAAACGTACCTTTGCTCATTCCGGCCAAAAAGTTCAATTTTAACCTCATCGGTCCACAGAACTTGTTTCCAAAATGTATCAGGCTTGTCTATATGTTCATTTGCAAAGTTCAAACGATGATTTTTGTGGTGAGGACGTGTAAGAAGTTTTCTTCTGATGACTCTTCCATGAACACCATATTTGTACAAGTATCTCTTTATAGTGGAATAGTGTACCACAACTCCAGTGTCTGCCAGATCTTTCTGTAGGGATCGTGCAGTCAAACGTGGGTTTTGAATTGTTTTTCTCACAATCCTGCGAGCTGTTCTGTCTGATATTTTTCTTGGTCTTCCAGATCTTGCTTTAACTTCCACTGTTCCTGATGACTGCCATTTCTTAATTACATTCCGAACAGAGGATATTGACATCTGAAAACGCTTTGCTATCTTCTTATAGCCTTCTCCAGCTTTGTGAGCGTCAACTATTTTCAGTTTCAGTTTTCTAGACAACTGCTTAGAAGAACCCATGGTGCTGATTGTTGGGGCAAGGTCAGATGAGTCTGGGCATTTAAAACCTTTGAGATTGACATCACCTGGTCTTCCCAGACGATGATTGAGAACAATCCATGACACTGGCAGGTCTCAGCTTGGCAAAGGGGGCAGTGCATGCTATAAATTCTGCAGGGTGCCCAAACTTTTGCAGACGCCATTTTTTTGTTTTCTGTTATTTTGAAAGTGTAAATGATGGAAATAAAATCTAACTTTTGTTGACATATTATAAGAATGTCTAATCTGTAATGTGATGCCTTTTGGAGATTTTTCCATCTTTCCTTGGCTTCTTTATGCACATTAATACAAATTTTTAGCTGGGGTGCCCAAACTTTCGATCCCCACTGTATATACTTACTCAAATATATATACTTACTGAATGTATCTGTAAGGCTGCTTTCATGCTGATCCGTTTTTCTTCTGCTTTTGCATTAAAAAAAAGAAGAAAAACGCATGACCATGTATTTCTATGGAACTTTTCACACTGATCCATTACGGGTCAGTGCATTTTTAAACCTTTCACTGCCAGGCTGATAAGGGGTTACCGCCTGGCCCTCCTGTACACTCTACTCATTACATCATATCACGTGACTTCGTCAGGAGTTCGAACACCTGAGGAAGTGATGTGATGTAACGCGTAGAGTGGGCCAATGACGTCAAGCCGCTAAACCGGAAGTTTACGAGCCGCCATGTTGGAAATTTCTGAACACTTTGATAATAAATTATAACATTTTTTTTGTACTGTGGTGTCCCAGCAGGAAACATTTAAATGTGAGTGCACTTTGTTTTTTAATAAATCACGCTATATTTATATACTACACTATGGCAAGCATTTCTGTTTACATATGCAGAGGATTTGTGGGAAAAAGAGGAGACAATACCGTTTGCAGCAGAATGAGGAGGAAAGTGGAGTCATCTATGCCGTATACCTACCCGGGTTAAAAGGGAAAGGCGGTATATGACCTATGCAATTTGGGTCATAAAAGGAGGTGAGAGTACATATGTATGTCTCTGGTGGAGGAGCACCTATAGGGATATATGTGGATATAAGCAATAAAGCATTAAAAACGTACCCTCATTGCATTTTGGCTGATTGCAGGAATGTGGTTGGGGGGTTCCGTGTAATCCTCAGGCCAAAAATGTTTTTTTTTAAACGTGTGCAAACAATGCAAACCGGATCTGGCAACAACAGGGTTAAAATCCTGTTTGCTGCAGTTTGGTGCAGTGACAAGAATGCATCTCCTCATTGAAATCAATTAAAAACACATTAAAAATGTACCCGCATTGCATTTTGGCTGGTTGCAGGAATGTGCGGAGTTACTGCCTGACAGCCTGTCAGTGCGGCAAGCAGGGATGTCTGTGTGAAGACCAGATAGTGATAATCCTGATGCAGAGACGCTGGTGCGATCCCGGTGTGGTGATTGGTGTCACCGCTGTGCTGAACTGATGTATAGGGTCCCGCAGCAGTAGGACAGCAATCTGTCTCTGGAGGAGAACGGCGGTCCCCCTGTGTTCAGCTCTGAATCCCGTACCATGAGAGAGAGCCGGTCCCTTGCTGTAGAATAGATCTGCTTTCCCAGCATCCTACTCGTTCTCCAGCTCTCTGGTAGTTGTAGTTCAATCAGCACTCAGGAATACAGGATGTATTGGCTATAGGACTACAGGTCCTCAGATCCTCCACAGTCAGAAAAACTGGATCCACTCTGCAAATAAGAAATGTAACAGTCCCAATACTGGGCACTAGGGCGAAAAGGATTAACCGTAGTCTCATCTGTTAGGACTCATGTACACTGCAGCTGATAAACGTTTAGGAGCTGCTCAGCGTTTTTTTTTTTTTTTTCAGCAGCTCCTGAACTCACCCTAATGTTTTCCTATGTATCCATGTACACATCTTTGTTTACAGGCATTTGAGTTTACAGTCGGTTTTTTTTGAACGCAGAAAACTTGCGTTCAGCAGTCGATTTTATCAGCGTTTCAAACGCAAAACACTTGTTAACTTGGCTAAACGCGGTAAATTGTGTTTATAAGCGTTTACGTTTGAAAAAAGATGCTGAACTCCAGTTCCTGATGCTGTCCAGAGTCTTTTTTCATCATGAAAAATGCATGAAAAGCATTTTCAAGGTACACAGATGGACAAAACACTGACCACAGGATGTTCCTACCAAGCTTGGCACACATTGTAATGACCAATTCACACCTCAGACCTCTCCCACCCTTGGAAACAAAAGGTATGTTAATTACCAATCACACCTCAAAGTCCTCATGATGACCCCCTGCCAGGTGGCCTTAATGACTCACTCCACCAGACACCTTTCCCACCCTTGGAAACTTCTACTCTCTGTATTTCTCTGAAACAGACTGAGATAGTTAATAATTTACCACTTTTCAGTGCATTCTGGGCCTTTGGGAGGTTCTCCTGTGCTTATCTTTAAAAAGCGCTTGTAAACGCGCTATGCAAACGCGATTAAACAGATATTCAGATCCAGCAGTCAGTTTCCATCTTTCAGAAGTGTTCCGTGTACATGGGGCCTAAATGTCCCAGAATGGCATTATGATAAAGCCGAAACCTGGCTTGAACAGAAAAGAACTGAGAGAGGAAGAGGGGAGTAGTTGTGGAATGAAAAGGAGTTTTGCAGAAAAAGCTGCTTTTTTTTATTTTATTATTATTATTTATTATTATCTTTTGAATTCTGTCAATCAAAGCTACCCAAAAGAAAGGGCATTTAATGTCCTACACACTCATTTGTGGTTGTATAGTTGCACCCAAACCAGAATATATAAAAAATGATTAAAGTCCTGAGCCGCATTAGCAAATTTGTCTTTTGCTGTTGCAGATGAATTTTCACTAAGTATCTTACATCTTTGTCAAGCAGTTCAAGTGAAAACAAAAAGCAGCCACAGGTAATAGTTATTCACACAGCATTTTTATTGCAGCGTTTTATGATTTGTCTAGTGTTCTAAACTTCAAAAGCACTTTTTTCCTCTGTTTTTTAAAGCACATCTCCAAATAGCAAACCTCCCAGCTGGATACTTATTCTGTTTCAACATCTTAGCTAGATTTGATCTAATTCTCCATAGCATCTCCTTGCGTCATTGAGAAAAATCATTCAAAAAGTTCTACCTTTAAAGTGGTTCATTGAGAAATCCGTTTTTTTCTTCTTCAGCAGGATAAAATTAGACATAGCCTAATTTACATACTATCTAGCCAGGCAAGGCTTCTTTTTTTTTTTTAGATCTTCATGGATCAAGGACAATGCATCTCAGTTTAACAAGGCTTGTTAACAAAACAGTCAGGAATATTTTTATAGCAACAGAGTCATCTGTCAAATAAACTGAGTTTTTGTCCGACTAAAAATATTTCACATATTCTGCAGCATTATTCTTTGCAGATAGAAATGTCAGGTTTTTTTTCTGTGTTCAGTCTGTATTTGTTTAAGCAAAATTATCTTGACTCTGGGCCTTGAATTTGCTGAGGAAACTATTATTGAACAAAGGAATGACAATCCAATTAGAGGGTAATTAAACTGTAGCAACTGTAGTCACATAGCAGAGAGTAATTCCCAAGGCATGGAAGTGGAATCATTCTAAGAGAGAAACAAGAGAGCAATAGTTATGATGAAAATATAATTTAATTATTACACATTTACTGTCAGGGAATGCCCAGTTTGAAAACTCTGCTCGTTGTGCATGGTTAAAGGCACACTCCAGTCAAATGTTACGCATGCAGGGAGCCAGGGTCATTGATAGGGGGGGTACCACCAGCCCTCCTGTATGGGGCCTGGCAAGCAAAGGGGCCTAGGCAGCTGGGTGAATTGGATGTGGGCAGGGAGGGTGATTAGCATGTTGGGGAGGGGGGTATTTACTGGGACTGATCCCCTGTCACTGCAACAGCTGAAAGCTGGCTTATTCTCCTTTCCCTCCTTGCTTTCAGCTGCTGCAGAGAGAGCACTACAGGAGATTGGTTCCAGTACAGGGGCGGACTGACAACTCATGGGGCCCCCGGGCAATAGGGGATTATGGGGCCCCTGTGTCCTTGCCCAAACTCAAAAAAGCCTATGCAAAAGGTACCGGGGGCATCTCATGGGGCCCCCTACTGACCCCGGGCCCTCGGGCAGTACCTGAGTTTTCAAATGGTCAGTCCGCCCTGTAGCAATCATGCACACAGAGATGGATGGGAACCTCCATTTTGGCAAAGGACCATCCATCTTGTGTAATAACCTCTCTCTCTCTCTTTCCTCATCCCCCTCCCTCTCTGTTGAGTGAAATGTTGTTGGTGTGTGTTATTAGAGTTCAAGGCAGCAAAACTCAGTGGGAGGGCGTCAGGACTATAAAACCCCCCAGCCGAGCTGGTGCCTAGGTACCTATTAGCTCGCAATCTGGGATATCGTAAAAGTGTAAACCAAGTCCCTCACTGAACTTCAAAAGACCTTCCAAGGGGTCGTAGAAACAGACTTACTTTTAAAAAACTCACTTTTTCATATAAGTTGATATCTTCACGTAGGACATAATTACCTAAAAATGGAGCCCATATTCGGACAGCTCAATTTGAGACCATTCTCCTGGTATGTTGCACCCCTTATCTGACACATATAAGAGAGCAGAAAATTATATCTCCTAAACCATTCAAGTAAATATGTCATATTTCATATGTAGACATTCAGCAGATGATTCTGCGTATTAATCTACCCCTGGGTAGAAAAGTTAGGGGCCATAATATAAGCTACAAGGGATTTTTGTTCTAGCTTGGGCCTCCGCCCCCAACACCCGTCCCCAAATGAGGCGATTGGTTCTCTGCTGTAAGGAGACACCCTGCTGAGATCCTAGAAAAAGGCTGTTATGCTTGGAGTGTGTGTGTGAGAGTGGAAGAGTCTCCCTTTAACATCAAAACTAACAGTGGGAGATCAAAGCATCCTCTTGGCTCTGAAACTTGGACCCAGGACATATACCCAGGACATATAGCAAGTACTTTAACCCTCTAACTTCTCTCTGTTATCTCTTTGCTGTGCTATTGTTCTCTGTATATTTATATGTGTATATATATATATATATATATATATATTGGCTACATCTTTTTCTGCAAATATTTTTTATTGCACCCTTTTGACCTTTTAGTAATAAATCTTACTTTCTGAAAGTGTTGAACTGTTTCTAACGCCTTTAAACTACGAATTCCTGCCTCTAAAGAGCGTACTGTGTGTTTTAAACTTCGGTATATCTCTGCCTGCGGTGACAGTGGTATACCGACAATTATTCAAACATCATACTGTATTGTTAATATTGTTGAGTTTCCTCTTTCTCTGTACAAAAAGGAGGTGGTGGCAGTGTGAAGGGTTAATTGTGTAATTAACCTGACCCAGTAACAATCGCTTCCAGGCTGCCGGTACACAGACTGTGGTCCATTAGCTGGAAAATCTGTGTGCAGGGTGCAGCTGGGCATGGCATTGTTAAGCACGTGACAGCACGGTTTTAGATTGGCTAGTCCTTCCTTCACGAGTTTGGTGAGAAGGGCTGGGGTCTGTCGCCACAATTTTCACACAACCCTGTTCCAGTAACTGCCCCCCGCTGCACCCATTACCCTCCCTGCGCACCACATGTTTCTCCAAGCTGCCCAGGACCCCCCTGGGTGCCCCCAACCCCTCAGTTCTGCTGGGTTCCCTCCTCTCCTTCCCAACAGCAGCTGCAAGCACACAGTAGGATTCTCCAGGATGGACAGTGGGGGAAGGGTCTGGAAAATATACTATATTGCCAAAAGTATTGGGACACCCGTCCAAATCATTGGATTCAGGTGTTCAATCATCTCCATGGCCACAGGTGTATAAAATCAAGCACTCAGGCATGCAGACTGCTTCTACAAACATTTTTAAAGGAATGGGTCGCTCTCAGGAACTTAGTGAATTCAAGCGTGGTACCGTGATAGGCTGCCACCTGTACAATAAGTCCATCCTTGAAATTTCCTTGCTACCAAATATTCCAAGGTCAACTGTTAGTGGGATTATAACAAAGTGGAAGCAACTGGGAACAACAGCAACTCAGCCACGAAGTGGTAGGCCATGTAAAATGACAGAGCGGGGAAAGCGCATCCTGAAGCACACAGTGTGCAGAAGTTGCCAACTGTCTGCAGAGTCAATAGCTAAAGACCTCCAAACTTCATGTGGCCTTCAGATTAGCACAACAGTGCATAGAAAGCTTCATGGAATGGGTTTCCATGGCTGAGCAGCTGCATCCAAGTCTTACATCACCAAGTGCAATGCAAAGCATTGAATGTAGTGGAGTAAAGCACGCCGCCACTGGACTCTAGAACAGTGGAGACGCGTTCTCTGGAGTGATGAATCCTGATTCTCTGTCTGGCAATCCGATGGACGTGTCTGGGTTTGGTGGTTGCCAGGAGAACGGTACTTCCATTGCGCCAAGTGTAAACTTTGGTGTAGGGGGGATTATGGTGTGGGGTTGTTTTACAGGGGTTACTGGAACCCCTTAGTTCCAGTGAAGGGAACTCTTAAGGTGTCAGCATACCGATATAGTGTATGTCACATTTACCAGCCTCATCCTTTCCGGAATGAACACAATGAGTGATTGGTACAGATCACGCACTGTGTTCATAACTGAAAGATAGTAAACTGTTTTTTTTTGGGGTGGAGGCTCCTTTCAGGTTGGCTATATGGGGCCCCATGGTTTCTAACAGCAGCCCTGCAGGAAGCATTGCCTACCTCCTGAGTTCAAAGTCAAGGATACCAGCAGGGATGGCCAGACCTGCGTAACTACATTTAAGGAACTGGAACCAGACTATATTTGATTTACCACCTCCCGACAGCTCACAGTAAATACAATCACGAATATGTACGTAATCGGCCTTCTTCAAGGTTTGTGGAGCATTCATGCTCGCCCCCTGACGATCCGTGCTGTAAATGGACACAGCACAAGTTTGGGAGCTGATTTCAGCCAATGATTTTGACTGAAGTCAGCTGATTGGCTGTGTCTAATTACACACAGAGTTCTGTATTTACAAATCAAAGAACTCTGTGTGCAGGGAACAGAGATCTGGCTGTTTTTTCTCCCTGCAAAGCATTTTACTTTAGTGAAAGCTCATACAGTCTTATCCAGTTACACATTTACTTTCTCATCATATGCACAGCCTACATACCTCATACACTAAAATAGCTTAAGTCTAGGTGCATCAATGCCACTCCCAGCTTTTATTGTTCCACATTTGTATATGCATCAGGTGCTCCCAAGAACTAGGGTTTGGTAACTTTAGCCACCCGGAGGGAGCACCTAATTCAATACATATGTAATTTAAAAAAAATCTCAGACTTCGGTCACACTGAATCCGACTTTGAAATCGTTTGCAACTTCACTTGAAGTTGGATGATTTCAAAGTCGGATGTCAGTAACACTTCAGATGCAAGTTCATGCACAGATGTCTATGCAAGTCGTACCTGAAGTTGAAAAAAGTAGTGCATGAACCAGGGGTGGACTGACAACTTATGGGGCCCCTGGGCAAAAGGGGATCATGGGGCCCCTGTGTCCTTGCCCAAACTCAAAAAAGCCTATGAAAAAGGTACCAGGGGCATCTCATGGGCCCCCCCTACTGACCCTGGGCCCTCGGGCAGTGCCCGAGTTCCCCAATGGTCAGTCCGCCCCTGGCATGAACTACTTTCAGAGTCTGAGTCGCACGAATTTGATTGCTTCCATTGTGTACAATAAGGTGCGACAAGTTGCACCTGTATGACCGGCGACTAAAGGGAAACTGTAATAGTTTGGTGTAAAATGTATTTATTTTTAAACTGATTTTTATATTTATCTCTGCTATGTATAGCAACATTGATTTTCTAAAACAAAATCACAGCAAGATTGATCTACTTTCAGATAGGCTGTCTCTGATTAACACTTCAGACAAAGCCATCTGTCACTACTTTGCCTTAGTTATGTGTGCCTGTAAATTTTAGCTTTAGGTACTGGGCTTTGTAAACAAAAGGATTTTTGTAATGAGATTGCAAATGGATAGAGGAAAACATGAAAAGGAGTCTAAAACATGAACCACTATCTGGGTAGTAGAATGCATACTATTATACTGAATAATTATAACATATTATTATTATTATTATTATTATTATTATTATGCAATAGTTGTTTACTAGAAAAGGAAATATATTTTAAATTTTATTTTTAGTCCTGACCATAAAAAAAGAAAGAAATACGTGCAAATCCACAGAAAATTCTCTTTAAATTGTTGTTTACATTTCAATACTTTAAAACAATTTTTTTTACCCCAAAACGATTGTTCTAAACAACACTAAGCTACAAGATCTTAAAGAATTACCTCCTTTTATGTTGATCTAAACTGTATCACAACCAGCAGAGAACCCTACTCCGAATCAAAAACAAAAGAAAAAAATAAAATCTTACTGTGACTGTTCATGAGTCACCTGTGATTAAGTGAATAAATAACAAGGACTTAGTCCTTTAGGGTCTTTAAATATCAATATGACGACCTTTAATTTAATCCTTCTAGGCTTATCTTAAATGCTCAACTCATTAGCTGTGCACCTGATATATTGGCAAGTCAGCTACTGCCTTACAGTAAAATATATAACTGCATTTAATGCAGAGAACATGATAGATCTCCACAAGTGGTAAAAGGGCATCAGAAAAACATAAGGTAAACTGTTAGAAAGGAATCTTATAACATGTAGGGCAGAGTTAGCCAACTCAAGGTTTAGAAAAAGCTTGACTTGATGGAATAAAGTTGATTTATTAGAGAGAGAAAAGATGGAGATGATTTTCGATAACATCTAAGCAAGATTCATCTGTAAATTGAAGCAAGGGAATTGTTTTATAAAAAAGCAGCAGTAATTATCTTTGACAACAAAATAGATTTCATATATAAAAAGTAGGGATGAGCGGGGTGATTTTAGCTAAGTTGATTTAGCCATGAAATTACAATTTTGCTTATTGAGCTGCTCAGTAAGAATTCGCTAGAATCAAAAATCTGCTCTATTTTTTATTTAAAGTGTTTGTTTTTGTACTTTTTTAGAGGGGGTGTATTTTCCACTTCACTTTAAGTTTTTAGTTTATGTTTTTTCACTGTATTAACCACTTTAAGTCCGGACACTTTCACCCCCTTCCTGTCCAGGCCAATTTTCAGCTTTCAGTTCTATCACACTTTGAATGACAATTGCCAGTCAAGCAACACTGTACCCATATGAATTTTTTAGCATTGTTTTTAGACAGATAAAACTTTATTTTGGTGATATTTATTCACCACTGGGATTTAAATTTTTTTGCTATATAAATGAAAAAGTCCAAACATTTTGAAAAAAAAAAAAGTGTTTTTCTTATAAAATTTTGCAAATAAATAATCTTTCTTCATAAATCTTGGCCAAAATGTATTCATTTATCTTTTTAGAAAAAAAAAAATAACTCAAATTAAAAAAAAAAAAAATTTAAATTATAATTTTTGGTTACTAATATTATTATTTATTTATTTTTTTTACCTACCATCACCCTAGCAGTACAGTGTATAGTGACACTGTACTACTTGTGGGGGGTGATGAAGATTTTTTTTTTCTTTTTTTACACTGATTGCTTTTACCCATACAGGCTGTAAAAGCAATCATTTCTCCTTCTCTCTGGCTGCATTTTTGCAGCCATTGAGAAATACTGTGAGAGCTGTGATTGGTCACAGCTTGTCACATGGTACAAGGCTTTTGTGACTAGCCTTGTACCATGTGACCTCTGTGATCATTCACAGATTTCACATGTAGTAAGCAATGATGTCAGGAAGCTGTTCCTGTGATCACTGATTGGCCAATCAGCGATCACATGAATTACACAGAGGTCCTTTACAGCAATCGGACACAACAGGCACCGAATCGCGGTGCCACGCGCTCCCAGGTAGCACATACAGGCAGTGAATGCGGAGGTTGTTTATAAACAGCCACCCGCTCCTGCACTGCTCCTGCCCAGCCATTTATGTACATGGGCCAGATGGGAAGTGGTTAAGGGGGCTAATGAGGGGCTGTTTTTTAGGCAATGGAAAAAAAAAACAATTCCAGGATACTTGAAAGTAGCTGAATTTTGCTTTCCCCTTTGACTCCTCTTTATTCCTCAAAAAAAAAAAAAAATGAGATGAAATCACAGAAAACTTTGCCAAAATTTTAAGAAAATTAGATTTTGCTTATCAATTTATTTTTTAATACATGTGTAAATACAGGCTAACTTTTAATATCTGCCGCTAAAGTAAAACTATTGCTCAAGGCAAAGACATCAAATAACAAATTCAGAATATGAGAAAACATACATCTGGGGTCATTTTTATATATTATGAAAAATGATTGGTATATCCAGATATATAAGCAGCTGAAGTTAAATGCAGATGTTATATTTCCCTAAAAAAGTTTAACCTGGCTCTGTGCTCGGCCCCCTCTTAAGCCTTCATACTTGTGAGTCAGGTCAACCGTCACAGGACTGATGAGGAAGCTCTGGAGGTTCAAAAGGGCATAGCAAGGCTAGACTCCTACAGAAAAAGTTATAATTTGCACATTATTTAGACTGCTTATATCTTTGATTGGTTTGGCATGTGGCTTTCAGTAAAAATATAACTTCTGCCTATGCATTTTTATATATATTTTTAGAAAAAGTTCCAGTTTGTGACTGGTTACCTTAAAAAGATGATACCCAATCAGTTTTCTAAAACCAAGACTTCAGTTTTAATATAAGTCTAAAAGGTCAAAATGTTTTGTGCATATTATAGTATAGAGAAGGCAGCAGGTTGAGTCTTCTTACGTCTGTTGATTAATTTGTTCTAAAATATAACAAAATAACAAAACCAGAGTCTGTTTTCCCAGCTTGTCATTATATCCCTGCTTTTCTGGACATAAAAAAACAGCACTGTTATTTGTAGCAAAAAAAAACATGAACTTTTCAAAATATGAACGACATCTTTTTGCCATTCTAAATTCTAGATCAAAGCTAGTAAAATGTCATCAGTTAGAATATCCATATTCACATTCTCATTAATTATAAACCAAAAGCATTACCAGTCAGTAAGTTAGTTATTAAAATGTTGTAAGTTGAGTGACTTGTGCCTAGACTATAAAGAACTTGAATTAATCTAAAACCCTTCCAAAGTGCAAATAGTGTGCCATAGCAAGTTCCTGCATGTCCTATTTCGGAGTGTCCAGGAACCTTGATTACAGTATATTTAGGGCAGTGTGGGAGATGGCCCAGTGCCCAGCCTTATGGGGGAACCATTACATTAGCAGAAAGGAGAACCCATGAGCTGAAATCAGCCCAGAAGTAGCACCTCTCTTTTAGGGATTGTGGCCTTGCTGGTACCCTTGTGCATATGTTTTGGGCTTGTCCTGATCTTTCCTTGATCTGGCGTAGGATTTTGGAGGTGGCCTTTTCCTTGGCGAGTTCTCTGGTGGATTTGTTACTGCAAATTTGCTTATTGAGTGCATCCGTTTCCGGGGTCCCAGCCAACCTAATGAGGCTAATTCACACTATTTGCGTCTCCACCTTATGGGCCATTGCCCTTCATTGGAAGTCACCGTTAGTCCCTTTGGCCTCTGTTTTGCGAAGAGTCGATATGATCATGCTCATGGAACGTATTCAGTATACATTATTGGATGGGATGCATATATCTCTTCAGGGAAGCCTATTCTGCCCTCAGCTAATAATGGAATCTTCTACTCCTCCTACCAATTCATCCCCCATAGTTACTACCTTTTGTACCACTAGCCCCTCCTTAGATTGTAAGCTCCAAGGAGCAGGGCCCTCCTAACCCTCTTGTATTGAACTGTATTGTCTCCCGTTATATTGTAAAGTGCTGAGCAAACTGTTGGCGCTATATAAATCCTGTATAATAATAATAATTCAACAGAAAATGGGACGGTTGGAAACAGGGGCGGACTGAGCATTTGGAAACTCGGGCACTGCCCGAGGGCCCGGGGTCATTAGGGGGCCCCATGAGATGCCCCTGGTACCTTTTTCATAGGCTTTTTTGAGTTTGGGCAAGGACACAGGGGCCCCATGATCCCCTATTGCCGGGCCCCATGAGTTGTCAGTCCGCCCCTGGTTGGAAAACACATCAACACTTAATGTTAGATTGAATGTTTATCATATGCTGATTTGTATTGATTTCATGTTAATTATGCGGTTATTCTGCCTCTTTCATGTACTTGATCTTTATGTTTTTTATGTTTGATTTTATATTACTGTAAATTACTTATGTGCCTTTTTCTTATTGTGCATTCTACCTCATGACGATGTGCGGTTTTTGTAGTCTGCCTCTCAATAAAAACGTTTCTAAACAAAAAGAAATCAGCCCAGAGTCCCAGGTTCACATAAACATAAAACATATTTATAGTAGAACTATAGGCAAAACGTTTTTTTCATTTTGGATAGAACATTTTGGATAGAGTGAGGAAAGTGCAGCCGATAACCGGCAACTGCATTTACCGGTGATCTGCTGTGTCACGTGGTAAAAGGCTGCTGTGATTGGCCTTTTACCACATCACATGTTCTGGGAGGATGTCATATCACCCTTCCAAGACTGGACAGCCGCACTGTGGCCATCAATCGGCTATAGCGCAGTTGGCAAGTGGTTAAACCCTATAATACACCTTACCACCTTTCATGTATGACTGTGGCTAAGTGAGCAGCTGCTTGACAGTGGTAAAGTAAGTGTATTTACTAACTTTGTCCTTCTTTTACATTTTAAAGTCCTTATGAAGACAAAACCTTTTTTACCTTAAAGCATTCCTTGTATTAAAGTAAAAAATGTTCAGGCATCAGAATTCCTCCCCCCACTTTACTTACCTAAGCCATCATTTGATCCAGCGCTGTCCCTGTCAGCAGCTCTCCTCTCTCCGCTTGTCGTGGTCTCATTGGCTTTGCTGAGGCAGTGGGAGCCAATGGCTCCTACTACTGTCAATCAAAGCCAATGACGAGGGAGCAGGGGGTCCCACTGCCTGTGCCTATACATGCAGACAGCTAGGTTCTAGAGTGAGCCGCATGAGCGGCTTTCTATGGGGGCACTTGTTGGAGAGAAGGTGATAGGAGCACCAGAAGGGGACCTGGGTAGAGGAGGTTCGGGGTCGCTCCAATCACTTTCATTCAGCATTTTACCATAGGGGGCTGTGTTAGTGTAAGGTTTACTTTAAGTGGTGCCAGTTGCACCTGACACTTGCTCTGGACCTTGGATTTATTACAACCCCTGGCAAAACGTATGGAATCAGCACTTTTACACCTTACAAATTCAGAACTACCATTCTTCGTTCTTCATTGATTGCATATTATAGGACAGTCTAACAACTTTAAATTGTACTGCCTGTATACTTTTGCATGGTTGTTTGACAGTTTCATATTCTTCTTTTTCTGCATTTACATATTGATCATCTGCTAAGCATCCTACCTAAAGCACGTAAAGTGTTACTAAACCCACAACAGTAAAATCAGTCTGTATATGCAGTAAAGCATGCTTGTTATACTCACTGTGGAACCTAAGGGGTAATCCTCTGCATTGTGTAAAAAGGTTGTTTGATCCTGACTTCCCTGATCCTCTCCTTCTTCCAGTGACCCCCTCTTATCTCCTGATAAGACATATGTATGAAGTCACTCTGCACATGCTCAGTTTGGTGTTTATTGCTAGAGAGGTTTTATTTTTTTCTTGGGAGAGTGCATGCGATCAGCACAGGGCCAAATCAGCTCTGTCCAGACAGAAGTCAGGGATCCTGCATCCTCCTAGAGCAGAATTAAAACTCATCCTACAACATGTGCTCAGCTGGACACTGATAGAAGTCACAAGACTGCTCTAACTGCTGATGAGAAAAGGTATTTAGCAGTTTATATTTACTAAAATAATTGCATGTCCATGTTCTGTGTACTGTGGGAGACCAGATATAGTGAATGCAGGGTCCGGGGAGACCAGATATAGTGAATGCAGGGTCCGGGGAGACCAGATATAGTGAATGCAGGGTCCGGGGAGACCAGATATAGTGAATGCAGGGTCTAGGGAAACCAGATATAGTGAATGCAGGATCCGGGGGGGAGACCAGATATAGTGAATGCAGGGTCCGGGGAGACCAGATATAGTGAATGCAGGATCCGGGGAGACCAGATATAGTGAATGCAGGGTCCCGGGTTTACTAATACTTTAAGTTTTCTATCTTGACACTTTGATATCTTCCTTGGTCTACCAGTACACTTCCCTTTTACAACCTATGTTGTAACCTAAGTATGTCTGTGATTGTTTTTTTTCTACACAAACAATTGAATGAACATTTTCCAAGAGTGGTGATTCCATACTTTTTGCCAGGGATTGTTTTTTTCCAGTTCCAGAAAAAGGGATTTTTTTTAGTTGCTCTCTATGCTTAAAATGTTACTCACTGTGGAACCTAAGGGGTCAATCCTCCGCATTGTGTAAAAAGGCTGTTTGATCCTGACTTCTCTGCCCCTCCTCTTGTTCAAATGTCCACGCTGATAAGACAGACTGAAAACGTAGCCCTTCTGAACATGCACAGTTTAGTGTGTATTGCTAGAGAGGTTTTTTTTTTTCTTGGGAGGGTGAATGTGATCAGCACAGGCCTAATCACCACTGTCCAGACAGAGGGTCAGGGGTCCTGAATCCTCCTAGATCAGAAATAAAACCCCTCCTTCAAGCTTTAACCAGTGCTCAGCTGAAGTCATAAGACTGCTCTAACTGCTGATGAGAATTGGTATTTAGCAGTTTATATTTACTACAATAATTGCATTTCCATGTTCTGTGTACTGTGGGAGACCAGATATAGTGAATGCAGGGTAAGGGGTTTAGTAACACTTTAAGGGCCATTTCTAAACACTTACTCTCAGCTCTCAGAGATGCAAAATGAAGAAAGAGAAAATCAGAGCCTAAATCAGGTTTTTAATGACTCTATAAGCAAAAACAATTCTTTAATTTCCTTGTCAGGACAGAAAAGGATGAGAAACCTTTCCAATGGAAACACAACCAAAAAAAACCCACATTTTAATTAGACTGTTCTCATTACGGTATTTTACACCTACCCGTCTCATTGAAAACCACTACCCAATGTCTTGTCCAGGTATCACGGGGACAGGAATTAAAAGAAAATCTCCCTAAAGGAGGTCATAAGCAGGAAGAAATATATTACCAATCTAAAAACCTTTCAAATCTAAAAATATTTCCAAGCTATTCAAAACAAAAAAAAAATTGTTGGCTGGAGTTAGGCTTTAAAACTTGAATTTTTTTATTTTTCAAACTTCAGTTTTCTATTTAAGCTTTCCTGAGGTCTCTATTCTTTAGGTCACAGAAGAGAGTATATATCTTGAAAGCTTGTCCAGAAAAATGAACTACTAGAGAAAATGAGAAAAGTATCACATACATTCCTGTTTTGTTGCAAGGACATTAATACAGCTACAATCAACTTACGTATTAAACCATGTAGTGAGTCACTCGGGAACACTGCAAGTACAAAGTAACAGTAACATGCAGTCAAATGAACACTTCCACAGTGACCAAACACATTTTCAAGCAAATGATCTTTACTAATGAGAAAATCCCAAACGTGTGAACGTTCCTCACCGAATCTGAACACTTCATTGGCAGAAAAGCATAAATAAGTTTCACTGGGGATGACATTTCTGTAGGTACTAAAAGCTATTTTTTTTGCATTATACTATGATATTACTATACATTTAACCCTTTTGCAGCCACATTTGCACACATATTAATATTATCATTTTAGGCATGAAGACTAGTTAAAACCTCTACACGTATTTTTTTTCCAAGCAGAGATTTTGGAGAAAAAAATGGGGGTAGTTCAAATGTGTTATTTTACACAAAATTAGCAAAACGGTTTACCAAACACATATTTTCAGTAGAAAATGTAAGCTATTTTTATTGTACACAAAGGCAAAAATATTATGCTATTTTTGGCAGACTATAAAATATGAGGTTGTATCGAATAAATATTATTATTATTATACAGTATTTATATAGCGCCAAAAAGTTTGCTCAGCGCTGTACATTATAGTGGGAGACAGTACATGAGACAATACTAACAATACAATACACCAGGGGTTCCAGGGTAAAAACAGTAAAAATAGATACCAAACATGTGCAATCCTGTGAAATGGTGACAAATTTCAAAGCACAATATTTTCCATAAGTGACACTTTAACCACTTCAAGTCCAGACACTTTTACCCCCTTCCTGTCCAGGCCAATTTTCAGCTTTCAGTGCTATCACACTTTGAATGACAATTGCGCGGTCATGCAACACTGTACTCATGAATTTTTTTAGCATTTTTTGAGACCGATAACATTTTATTTTGGTGGTATTTATTTACCACTGGCATTTTTATTTTTTTTGCTATATAAATGAAAAAGTCCCAAAATTTTGAAAAAGTGTTTTTCTTATAAAATTATGCAAATAAATAATCTTTCTTCATAAATCTTGGCCAAAATGTATTCAGCTATCTTTTTGGTAAAAAATAAAATAACCCAAATTAGTTTATAACCAAAAATATTTTTTTTACATTTTTATTTATTTTTTATTATTATTAATGTTCTTTTTAACATACTGTCGCCCTAGCAGTATAGTGATACTGTACTACTTGTTGGGGGTGATGAAGATTTTTTTTTTTTTTACACTGATTGCTTTTACACTTATAAAGGCTGTAAAAGCAATCATGTCTCCTTCTCTCTGGCTGCATTCTTGCAGCCATTGAGAAATACAGTGTGGGCTGTGATTGGTCACAGTTTGTCACATGGTACAAGGCTGTTGTGAATAGCCTTGTACCATGTGACCTCTGTGATCATTCACAGATTTCACACGTAGTAAGCAATGATGTCAGAAGTGACATCTTACTTACTACTATTCATGTGATCACTGATTGGCCAATCAGTGATCACATGATCAGGACCTCACACAGAGGTCCCGTACAGTGATTGGTGTTCCGCACCGGATCGCAGTTCCGTGCGCTCCTAGGGAGCGCGCACAAGTAGGGAAGTGGAAGGACGTTTATAAACAGCCACCCGCTCCTGCGCTGCTTCTGTCTGGCTGTTTATATACATGGGCCGGACGGGAAGTGGTTAAAAGCCCTTACAGGTCATCAGTTTAGAGAACCACAGATGATGACCCTTATAATATTTGCTTTCTGTCTGGAATGCACAACAATGCCTAAATGTTTTATGACATTGACATTTTCATATGTATGGGCCCCCAATGCATGCATCTATTTTCGAATGTGTGTATACATGGGGGTGGATTTATATTAAATTTTTTTGGAATACATGGGTGTAATTGTGAAATTTACATACATACGTGTATATAAATTCCACCTTCTATCAGTGGCAGCAAAAAGGTTAAGGCTTATCTAAATTCATGAGCAAAAATGCAATATATTGCAGCTTACCAGTCTTTAGATGTAGTGGCTGCAAACGTTTTAGTTCAAATTTTTCACCTGGTGTTCCTGACAGAAACTCATTTCCTGTTCTAGGGTGACAATGCTCACTTCCTGCACTGGATCTATGGAACAGCACTGTTGTCACACTAGAACAGGAAGTGTGCTAGGACTACAGACACCTTCCACTCTCCTCGTTTCCATACCATAGAGAGTAGGTGTTCTGTAACCCATAAAGGTGAACTGGGAAAGCTGATATTATTGTTTAACTGTTTCCGCGCCGCCCTATGATAGAAATATTGCTACAGGGCAGCATGGGTGCGCAACACAGATCTGTTTATATACAACTGTGTTGTATAAACAACACAGATCTCTCCCCTGTCAGCTCCTGCACAATGTGTTGTATGGCTCTGCATAGCAGAGCCATACAAAGCAGTGTGCTTACAGTGTAAAGCACACACGCAGTGAAACAGCACACAGTTAACCCTTTGATCACCCCACATGTTAACCCCTTGCTACCCAGTGCTATTACTACAGTGGTAGTGCTGTTTATTAGCACTGATCACTGTATTGGAGACCCTGGGGATGTCAGTGACACCAAGTCAGTTCCCCTCAGTGTCAGAATGCCTACCGCAGTCCCACTGATCGCCGCCATTTAGTAGCAATAAAAAAAATAAACAAAATTCCAGTACATATACCGCCATTTGTAGACGCTATAACTTTCACATAAACCAATTAATTTACATGTATTGGGATTTTTTTTTAGCAAAGACATGTAGCAGAATACATTTTGGCCTAAATTTATGATGAAATTTGATTTTTTTAATTTGCTGGGTGCATTGTGGGGAGTAGTATGGGCAGAAGCCTCTCTGGTATCCTGTTACAGAAAGCCTCTGGTCTGCACCAACCCCGACAGACCAAAAGTGACCATAGTATGCTGTATATGTAATATGGAAACTGTTTTTACATTGTACTATGATCGATGCTGTGTGTGAAAATAAAGAAATTAAAAAACGCTTAGAAGTAATGCACAGATACCAGGATTTACATGACTGTATCATCTCTGAGGCAACATCTCAGGACTGCATAATGCCTGAACATACAGTAGACAGGGGCTTCATCCTTCTGGAAAGAAATGCAGGTGAAGACATTGTAAGGGGGAGTCCTGTGATCTCCGATAGGGGTAAAAAAGTAAGTGTTATACACAGAACATAGCATGCATGCACTTAGCATGAAAAAATACAGAATATATGATGCTAGGTCTATTTTAAATCAGTGTTCCAAAGACTTGTATTAAATAAATTAGGACGTAAAATACAGATAGAAACTGTTTTTAATTTACTGACCATTGAAGACACGATTGCCTTCAAAACCCTCCTCGAATATTCTTAATATTATTTACATGAACTTGTGTACTTCCATTCTCTGTACCGCCAACCACTGAGTCATCCATCCTTGAGTAAATTCTGTTTTGTTTTTATTAAAGTGGCTATTTCATTAGCATGGAGAGTGGTGATACACTGTTGACTAACATCCCTTTTGCACTCATTTAGTTATCTCTGTTTATTTTTAATCCCATTACACATTCATAAGGTTTAGGTTTGTAGCTACTACAGTGAAGGAAATAAGTATTTTGAATGTTTGCCCACTCACAAAGAAATAATCAGTCTAAAAATTGAATGGTAGGTGTATTGTAACACTGAAAGACAGAATAGCAACAAAAAAATTAAAAAGAAACGCATGTCTAACAAAT